CAATCGTAATTATTGCTGTTAACATTTTTGCTTGCAGATTAACTTTAACAGCCTTAACAGCAATTTGTTCTCTGTTAAGTCAAGAGTTCTACAATTTACATTTACAGGATAATGTAAAAGATCAAAGATAGCCATTTTCAGCTAATAGCTAAATCTTAACAGATTTAACAAAAATTCGTAAGCAAATTCATTTATAGAAATGCATTTATTGCGTTTATTTTTTTACAATATTCGTATTTTATAATACATAGGCAACACGAATTTCTAATGAAGCATGTTCGCTTATATAAATCGTGTTTAAAGAGTCTTGTAGAGGGACTGATGCGCGTACATATGTATGTATGTATGTAAGTGCGTGTGAAAGTGAGTAATGGAAAGTATTGAAAATAGTGGCTAGAAATGTTACAGTTACAGTTATAGTTATAGTGGCTTTCAGTTAAGTTGAGTGTTCAGTTTGAGATGGGTCGTCAATGCAATGAAATCAGTGTTTGGAATTCTCTCTCTCGCTCTAGCTCTCTCTCGCCTTGACTCGATCCTATTGGTACAGGCCCAAGGGCAGCTTGGGGGCAGCCAGCAGCTTGGGTTGCGCATAGGCCAATGGCAAGGGGGACACAATCTTGGCAACGGGCGCAGCCTTAATGATCTTCTGGCCCAGAGGCTCACGGCGAACGACGGCATTGAAGCCGTTGTGGGCATCCGATGTATAGTCCACGATGCGCTGGTAGCCATCGGCATCGATCAGCGTGTACTGTCCCTGGACCTGATCACCCTTGCGGGACTCTGTCTGGCTCTTGATGTCGCCGGTGTGGTCGTCACGCACGGAGTAGGAGAAGTCGTAGTTGGCGGGCGCCTCCACCTCGACGGTCTTCAGCAGTGGCTTCACCAGGTGCGCGGTGGGCGCAGAGTAGATGGGGCTCAGCTCGATGGCAGCGGCAGCAGCCACGCCCAGGACGAACACAGACACAAGCTGGAATGAAGATCAGTTCACTTTAGTTGCAGAACAATTTCAGTATTTCACTCATTTAATGAAAAAAAAAAAACTCACTGAGAACATTTTGAGTTTAGTTTTCGAGTTTTGAGTTGGGTTCGGAGTGCTGAAAATCTGTTGGATCACTACACTTGAGGCTCCTGCGTTGAACTATGTTGTCAAATGTCGCGCACGCAACTTTTATACCAAATTCGATTGCCCCACCTCCACGGTGCGTGCGGATTAGTCCAAGCCCGAACCGGAATCCAGCCAAATGTAAAACAGTTACTTTTTGTTTTGGCATTGCGGCTTTGATTGCCAATATTTTGTATTACCACCCAAAAATAAAAATCCAAATCCAAATCTAAATAAAAATACAAAGATAATAAACAATTTTACTTGTCGCATGTGCTGATCCAGTTTGCAATTTTTGGCTGTGTAACAGAGCGACTTTTGTTTCTATGGGTCACTCGAGCGAGGGATCAGCCAGAGACGGCATATAAATACATATATGTCAAGCTGATCTACTGCTTGAATAGCTTGAATAGCAGCAGCCGATTTACGAGTAAATAATTGAGGCATTTCAAAGTCGAGTGAAAGTAAAAATAGAGATAGAGAGCAACAAGTGATCCATTTTATATACCAATCAATAATGCTCACACATT